AGGGGTATAGATTACAACTATGGGAAACAAAGCTCATCAGATAGATCTCATCAGGCGCAAAGTACAAACCATAACAAAAACTCTTAATAGAAGCCAAATTACAAATAAACAATATAGATATATTATCAATTACATTCTCTTTTCAGCAGTAGAATATCTATTACAAAATATCATCCTCTCAGAACAAAACTGCAAGAAAATGGATAGCATGATATGAGCAACATTCAAACACAAAAACAGGCTTCCGATTATGGCCATAAACAGTGGAATCTACATGAAATTCGGATACAAAATATTCAATACACAAGACAGGCAAATCCAGCTACATGCAAAACATATACTCAAAGAATTAAACAAAACAAACATATGTGGAACAATATTAAAGAGGAGACTACAACAAGCCCAAAACCAGGCCTGGACAATCAAGAATATCCTAATCCACCCTGAGGAAGCACCCAATACCAACAAAAGCCTTATCGGCCAATGTTTATATCTTCTCAACAAACAAAAAATTAAAGTTATAGAAAATAACACATCCAGCCTAATCAAAACCATTGAGGGGGACCAACTTTATACAATACAAGACATAATAGAAAAAGAGTGGTTCAACAAGAACAAATGGAAGCTTAAAAAATACAACATTATGTTTATCAAACAATTAACAAATGGTTTCCAAACACATATGCTAGAATGGCGACAAAAAAAGCAATTATAGGAAACAAGTCAATAGGCAAACAATCCAAATGGTTCTTAGAAATTAGAACTAAATGTTGCATCCCTAATCTTTTAACAAATAGATATGCAATCCAGATTCCAGAATTAATACAACCAAATCCAATACAACAGCTAGAACTAACAAACAGTTAGAACTCCAAAGCTAACAAATATATCGCATGTTCAATCGATTAAGAGGAATATATTGGTAAAAGAGATCACTGTAATAAATTAAAAGATAAACAAGTACAAGTTCAACATATGACCAAAATCACAAATGACTCTCCACTTCAAAAATGTCAAGGTTGCAAATTCAAAGAAAAAAAAGGGATTGGGTGCACAAGAACAATCAATCTTGACACATCTCTGAGAGTCCCAGTCATTAAAACAAAGCATAGCTCAAAAATACATGGAAAAATTATCGGCCACATGGAAAGAATACAAACTTCCCTATCGATACTCCAGCACAACTTTCAACAAACACAAAACATATGTAAGAACACAACAATAGCGAGTATAAAACCTAAGCAACAGGAAAGAGGAGTACAAAAAGAAACAATAAACAACTCAAGATCAGAGAAAAAGCTAAAGAAAAACTTAATGAGATCATAACCCGAATAAGAAAATGGAACAACATTGAAGCATATACAGATGGCTCAGTTGAAAATATCAGCACATACAAATGCAAAATAGAAATAGAATAGCATATCCTAAACATAGAAACAAATGAATATGAGGAGTTCAAGGCAAATACAAAAAACTTTCCATTCTTAACCAGGGCAGAACTTATCGCCATTCTCAGTCTCATCTCAAGCATTTCACAAGAAGCAAACGTCACAATATATACAGACAGCCAAACAGCAATTCAAAATATCTTAAAGAAGAACAACAATAGCAAAAAGATTATACACAACACAAATTGGATTACAATTGAATATATTCAAACACTTATTTAAAATAGAAAAAGAAAAACAAAAGTGGTCAAAGTCAAAGCACACTCAGGAATCCCAGAAAATGAAAAAGCTGACCAACTTGCCAAAGAAGGTATACAATTATCACAAGAATATGAAATTACAACCAGTCCAAATAGCAGCAATTACCAAGGCCACTTGTTTTGAAACAACATAGTATTGGACACAAATATAAACGAATTCATCAAGAAACAGAATAGTTTAAAATGAACAGCAAAATGAATCATATAAAATAGGTATATGGCATGAATTGCAAGTGGACAAGAAATCGAAATTGATTGGAAAGCATCATGGAAGTCCCAATAATCTATCAAAATATCTAGCACAGTTACAAGCAAGCAAGACTACAAAAGCTGAAACTTCTGATACAAATTGCTAAACGAAGAACTTCCAACATTTAATAAACTTAAAGAAAAGAAACCAAAATTATACAGCACAGCAAAATGCACAATATGCGGAGAAGAAGAAACCATACAACATTTAATTCACTCACACTAGAAGAAAATGATAACACTAGAATACATGAAAGCAATAAAGAAAGAAACCAGTTGCAAAAACACAAGGAAACCAATGGATTCTAACAAGAAAATTATCAATATTTCTAATACAGAGTTTATAAGAACAACAATAACAAAAGCAATATTCATAAAAAAAACACTAAAATATATTCACGAAAGAGTGGGACCACAAATAGAGAAAGCCTGTAAGGCAATTACAAAATACATGAAAAAATTACATCTAAACTCTGGCAAGAAAGATACAATAGAACAATCAAATAGGAAAAAGAACAAGAAATTATAAGAAAAATGAAATGGAAAACAAGAACAACCAAAAGAACGACAATTAAGAATACAAACAAGGACTTCGAAAAAGAAAAAAGGAAGGAAAAACAGAGAAAAAGAAGGGGAACTGGCAAAAGAAAATAATAGAATGGTTTGTAGAATACAAATGGAATACAAATTATAACAATTTTACAAATATCTTATTTACTAACACTAATGGAGCCTTGGCACATTAGTCCTAATCAATTTTTTATAGAAAACTCTATAGAATAAATTAGGTAGCTCAAAGCTGACATTTGGGAAACCTGATATAGTCCAATATATAAACAATAGAATTGAGGTTAGAACATATATATAGGAACACCCTATAATAAATGTAAACATCAATATTAATAAAATATACTGGGCAAAGCTTGGCTAGTGTTGAAAAAAAAAATTAAAAAGAACAAATACAGTTATTATTTTTTGTTTAGGAATAGGTTTATACTTAGATTTATGCTATATTTCCTTACTTTTAAATATAGGGTAAGAAAAATCACATCCAACAATTGAAAAATTTTTCCAGCGGTCTTCTTTTTGATTTTTATGACCCAACTTTTTTCCAGAAATTGGATCATTAATCTGAATTGTGTCAACATCAAGCAGGATAGTGAAGTCCAATCGAGTTTCAGAGTCTGCCGATTCAGTTTTGTATACTAGCTAATTGGATATGACATATTTAGGAAGCCAGCCAATCTGAATAGGAAGGTTTGTGCTATAGAGTCTGCCATATCAGGAGAAATTGTGAGCTTTTATTAGAATTAGATCAGAAGTCTTTTCTTATGCAACCTTTTCTGCTTCGACCTGTTTTCAGCTCGCAATTGTCAGAAAGACCAGAAATCCTATCTTTATGTAGCCTAACTGAATTTGGTCAAGATCCAGATATCTAGGTATGACATTTGTGACAATTTGGTAAACTCACAAATAAAGAATAAATTTATATGTTTTGCTTCCTATAGGTATTGAACTAGGAACATGAATTTCGAGATCATGGAGCACTATCTACTGTAATATTGACCTATTGATCTAAATATTAATAATAATATATTATATATTTTATAATCTTGTTTATATATTTTAATTTTGTTATTAGCCTATCAGATTCAAGTAATTATCAAAACTCTTTTAATTTTTTTTTTGGGATTAATAAGTTAAAATCAAAATTTTTTTTTATTTCTACAAGTTTGATATTATTCTTAAATTCTTATAGTAAGTTTTAAAATATTCAAATTTGTTGATTTTGAATAAATTAGATTTTTAAATTAATTTTTAAAGTTTTTTTCATTTTTATTAATAAAATCATATTTTTGACTTTATCTCTAATTAATATTCATTTACACTTTATTTTTATTTCTTTTTAAGATTAGTATATTGTACAACTTTCTATGGAAAGACATTTTAGAATTCTTATAATAATTTGATATTTTATTTGATATTTTTATTTATTTCTTATTTGATTAAGATTTTTTTGATTTTTTCTTATTTTTCAAGAAATTTTTAAAAAAATTTCAAGAATACCATTTCTAATACATTATTATTATATATATAATTTATTTTTATTTAAATAAATTTTTATAAATTTTTCAAGATTATTTTATTATTTTATTTTATTATTATTATCTTTTTTGTATTTTTTATAGAAAATAAAAGGATTTCATCTATTATTTATACAAATAGATTACCAGATACAGTATATTTTATTTCCAGAAATAAAATTTATTTTTTATATAATTAATACAATTTCTTCAGAGAAAATGCAAGAATTTCCCTTAATATATCATATAGTAATAACTAATATAACAATTAATATTAATTATTTTTCTACATAAATATTTCCAAAAATTAAATAGAACAGTTAGAATGAAAAATCGGATTTTTGGGAAAATCCAATTTTCTTCTTTTCATTAACCAAGGTAAAACCATTTGGGTTTTATAGTCATTTGAAACCTGTAATTTTATTTTTCTTATGTTATACAGATTTCTAATTATTTTCCAAAATTTTTTGCATTAAACTTTACGTTTTATCAATATTTACAATTACAAACAACTTCTTAAAACTAACTATTAAATAAAAGTTACTGTTGTAGAAGTTCTCTTTATTTGTCATAAATAAGACCTTTGCATATACAGTATATTTGTTCTGTAGAAAACTATTCTTACTGTTTGAGAAATTCTAATTATTTTTGTTTTTATGGAATTACAAGAATATAATGATTTCATTTGCCTATTTAACATCTTATTATTATATAAACTTTAGTTTCAATTTAAATTCCCCAACTCATCATAACCCGTTTAGCTTATTGAATCGATAATAACATTCAGCATTTTTATCTCCCTCAACAAAAATTGCCTGTACACAAACTTTTGGCGTACACATCAATACCGTTACATATGCACTTTAGCCTTACATAAGTGCATAAGTACTGTAAATCGGATCGGGACTAATTTCTTTATAAAGCGTACCGAAATGTACATCATTAATATTCTATAGAAAATGAGCGAGACAGCCTCTAACGAATTCCGGATTTCGATTGATGAAAAAATTTCAAGTGATGAAAAAATTCCATGCTTCGATATTAAAAATCAACATAGGGGAAAGAAAATAGACAAAGTTGTTTTCTCGCCAAAGAATAAATATTTTGCAACTGCGAGTTTTCATGATCGTTCAGTTTGTATGTGGGAGTTTAAGCAAGAAACAGGAGAGCTCAAATTAAGCCCATATCATTTCTTTAACCTTAAAGAAACGGTTTTATGTAATCCAATTTGCGTCTCAGATTTTAACAAAATTCTTATTGGAAACACTTATAATGACTATTACATCCTTGGTAAGTTTGGCGTTCTTCCTAAAGTTTAACTGTGTCTTTTTTTAATAATGTATATAATAATTTCGATAGAAATTAGAGATTGTAATAATCAAGAAGGAGGAATAGGAGAAAAATTATTAGATAGTAGAGAACACGATGGCGATGTAGTAAATTGTGGGTTTCTTACAAATGGAGATTTTGCAATTGTTGAAGGGAATCCTACTTATCAGGCCCACATCTTTTCTTTTATTGGAGGGAAGTGGCACAGCACGAGTAAAATTAGACTCGTTGAATTTAAACATGCCGCTGTTTCTCATGATAGAGTGTTGATTCTCATGGATTTGCCTTTTGTAATCATTCAATGGAATCTGTTAACACGAAAATTTGAGAAACAATACGAATTGGATTGGAGTTTGGCCAAGTATCAAAAAGATATTTTAATGGAACTAAGCTGTGACCAAAAAATACTTGCAGTAGCTGGACGTTTAAATGGAGAGCAGGAAGAAGATTCGAATACAAATCATGAAGAAGATTTGAATACGAAGCATGAAGAAGATTTGAATACAAAGCTGGAAGAAAATTCAAGAGTCTATTTTTATTCAACGGAATCTGGTACAATTATAGGAAATCGTAAGTACAATTTACGCACAAGAAAAATAATTCAATTCTATTACTAACCTATAAATTATTGTAATTTAATAGAATCGTTTAATGAAAAGTTTTCCGAAAAAAAAAAGACATCAATTAGCAAGATACTTTTTATTAAATTCGAAAAAGAGGAATTTCTCTTTATCTATTTTGGACAGGAGAAAACATCTTATGCAATTACTCCTCCTACATCATCATCTTCTTCGCTCAAGCTCCATTCCTTGCCGAATTCTCCGTCAGAATCAAAAAATTCAGGAAAATTACATTTACCGGGTGAAATTGATTTTATTCTACAATATCAATTAAACAATGAACACAATGAGCTTGAAGACGATTTACATTCTTTTAAAGAAGAGAATCAGAAAGAGGACTCTCGTGATGAAAATGGAGTCTATTCACCACGAAAAGATATAAAAAACAATATAGATAAATTTTTAAAAATTTATAAATCAAAAAACGAGTCAGCCAAACAATCGTCAACCCATCGATCGTTAACCCAGGATTCGGAAAAACAGGTGACGCTAAGGGGTAACCAATATATCTGGACTGTTAAAGAAACATCTCATAACAATATGTTAGCAGCTAAAATAATTGCTAAATGGACTGCGAATGAAGTGAAAATAGGAACAGTATTAACATATTTACGCGTGAAAAAAAAAGAAGAAATTAAAGAACAATTTCAAATACTTGAAAACGACGATTTGATGTTGGTTGCCTCCTTTGGAATGCAAATCTGGACAGTAAAAGATTATTCCGTTTACTTACTTTATTATTGGGCTGATTTGACAACGCATTATATATTGAATTCGCCGATACAAGCTATAGTTGAACAACTTACTTTACTAAAGAAGAAATTAGAATCCAAAGATTATAAAAACTCGTTACCTCATCCGTACTTCGACGAAATAATTAAACATGGAAAAATAACTTTGTATCGAGAAAAGGATTTGGATGTTACGCATACAGAATTCTTGAAAAGATATACAGATGATATCCTATTTCTGGAATTATATGGAAGAAAATTGCTCGAAATATTAGTTCAAATGAAAAATTCTAAAATTTGTAAAGTAATCTTTGATCGTATTATCAATCATAGTTTAGGTCAGTTTCAGAGGGGCAATATTTCTAATTCTACCAACTTATTAGGTATAATTACTTCTAATCTTCTAAAACTAGAATCATTCGGCAGATTTACAGAATATTATTTATCTTCCACCGCATTTTTAATTCCTGATTATTATGCACCTCTTTTAAATATTTCATCTACCTCAATTTACACGAACCCTTACATAACTTTACCATTTTCATTTAACGATTCATTTTCCGATCGCTGGATTTTCAAACATTTTAAAAACGATTCATTTTTCGATCGCTGGATTTTCAAACATTTTAAAAAAGATCCTGCTACCTTATTTCCTAAAAAAACCGTCAAGTTAATGGTACCTTTATTGGATTTTGCTACCTACCCTGAAAAAAATTATTCCTTTTGTAAAGAGCTATTTAGACCACCCGATAACGTTTTTACCTCATTAAACTCTCCTGAATATTATAAATGGCCGAACGTTAAAGCTCTTGTCAATTTCAAGTGGAGCACGTATGGGAGACGTTATTATTGTGCCATGTGGGCACTATACACGATATTTGTACTATGTTTTTCCATAGTTGCAACACTTCCACAAGATAATCTTTCACGGAAAAACAAGAACGCACTATTGTGGACAACAATAATTCTTGGATTTTTTCAGTTTACTTATGAACTTCGACAATTTATCCACGGCATAAGATATTATATTACAAGTCCCTGGAACTGGCTTGGTTTGTATAATTCTATATTTAATGCATAACCAATATTTATTATGTTATAAGTTTTAACTTAATTTATTTGCAGACCTCGCCGCTTTAATATTTCCAATAACAACTTCAATTATGTGGCTGCTTAATGAAAGTCCACCACCATTATGGATTATCGCTATATCAATACTTGTAATTGAACTCAAATTCTTAACTTATTTCCGTGCTCTCGATAAATATGGAACATATTTTGCAATTATAGTCGGAGTACTGAAAAAAATTTCCTACTTTATTATAATTTTGGGTATTATTGTTATTGCATTTTCCCATTCTTTACACATCCTATTAAGACCGACCACCGAATTTAATATCAATGAGCCAAGTTCCGCCGTTGACAGCAACAATCCTTGGAATCTTGTTACAACATATCTATCTATTTCCTCCGATGGCGTTGTCGGAAAACCTTCTCTTATTGCAACTCCAAGTGACAGCACGAACTTATATTCATTTTTAGATACTGCTTTATTAGCCGTTTATTTCATGCTAACAGGTATTATATTATACTATTACTAAATATACTGTAAATAAATTATAGTACTAATTTTTATACATTATTAGGAGACAGAAGTTCAGTCTCGCCATGGAATTTGAAAGATAATCACACATTGGCGTTTATATTAGTTTTGTTCTCATTTTTTACGGCGATTTATTTAATGAATTTATTAATTGGATTGCTTAACACCGCAATCAATGATATAAATAATGAAGAGTCGCTTTTACACCTAAGGGGAGAGGTAAATATGCACAGTAGATATTTTATTTAACAATTTTTAGGATAATTATATTAATTATTGCTTATAGATTTTGGCGGAGATTGAACTTTTTATGATGTTTCCCTATCAAAGAAGAAAGAAAAATTGGTTCCCGGAGAATTTGTAATTATACCATATATATTTCTTAAGCATTTTTTCTTCGAATATTAATTGCATCGGTTTTTAACATGAAAGTTTTTTTTCAGATATTACGAGATATCCGTCGAAGAACTTGCAAAATATCTTAAGAAGCTAGATGTGCGAAATAGAGTAGATGTGGAAAATAACGAAATATCATCGCCACGGTTGTCTAGTACTATTATAGAAATTTTTAATAGAGAACGGTCTAAATTAAGAACTATATGAATTGGATAAAAAATTTGGTGAAAAGTTTGATAAGCTGATCGAATTAGTCAAACGAAAAACAAAAGTGAGGAAGGTAGATTATGAGAAATTTTACATTTAGAAATATGATATTCTTATTCGCAATTTTTAAAATTTATTTATAAATAAAATTTATTTCTCCTATTAGTGTACATATGGTATGGTATGTTAAAACTTTATTGTAACGTCAATATAATACTCATTAAAATACAGTATCTACATGTGATCTCTGTGATTACTAAATAAACTCCACTCGAAAAATATAAACCTACAATGTGCTGTGCACAATGACTTGCGGGACCTAGTGTAAGGCGTAAAAAAAAGAGTGTATTCTCGCATACCTACACAGGTATATCACGATATGTGGTTCGAGTCTATTAGAACGGGTAATATGAGTATTATGTAACGAACGACAAATACAACCATACGTAATCGATCTACGCTGGAGTATTGAGAGATCTGATCCTGGCACGACCGGTTAAGTTAATGACTGCAAAATGTAACACCTTCTATCGTTAATTATCTGTGCAAATATCAGATAACAGACTCACCATTCGCCCACTACGCTAGTGATGTGAAAAATAAATCGATCCGGTCAAAGAAAGCATACTGTTTTTTATTTGGCTTCCCTTCTCGGTAACTATATCAACTACTTCTTTATGAAGTAAATAGACTCGCACATAAGTTGACTCTTGATAATCATAGTTTTTAATTAAATTGTGAATATAGTACAGTCTTCGTTGTCCAAAGTTCCATTTCTACAAACACTCTAGCTACAATAAATAAATAAACTTGACATACAGGTTAATATTATTATCTATCCAATATTCGATAAATTTTGGCAAGAAGATAAAATTTTGTTATGGAGCGTCCGAGATTAGGTAAGCGTTCTATTTGGTTTTCTGACTAGTTGCGCAAATCCTGCTCGATTTCTAGAACTTTAGTTCCATAAGTCACGTGATCAATTTGTATGTGCGAACGTATAATAAACAACGCAGGTAAGAGCTTATACGTTAAACTGCTAATTTATTAGACCACTAAACGCTAGTACACCGCCTCTCTTTATTTCACTTACAGGCTAATTACTTGTAACGCATGTTTACACGCATCATTCCCTGGCTTTCCCACCTTAACTTTCCACGACACTAATTACGTAACGCGTTACATTATTGCGCCCACAATATACCAGTACTGTAACAAGATACAAAGAATTTTTTTGTCTAAGGAAAATTATGAATGAGCAAGTATTAATTTATAATGTGTTATGAAAAAGATAATAAAGTGAAGGATTTCATTTTCAAAGCTTTTAAAGTTAACCTGAACGAACAAATAAATATAGGCAAACACTGTAAAGGTGCAATAACATGAAAAATCTTTACAGTTTTCTGTGATTATTTTTTCATCGCCGATTATGATAGGATTTAAAATAAAAATAATGTTTTTTAAAATTTTATACCTATGGATTATTAAGCATTAGATTAGAGATGAAGAATGCAAATTCTTTGCCAATTGTTACTATATGCTCTGCTTAAAACTACAGCGGAGATCTGATAATCTATGCAGTAAATGAAAGTAAATGAAACGCCCATTTTCTCGTTTTTCAGGTGACTGATCAAACTTCAAATAGGTTGAGACTTGATCAGGAAATTAAGTCTAGGAATCGTGCTTTTTTCTTAAATCGTATGAAGAAAGAATCATAGCAATTACTTTTTTAATCATTGGAATTTTTTTCGAATTTTCTTTTACTTTTACAAATTTTTCTGAAACTAGTTGCACAATTCTCAAAAATAAAATACAAGAACCCATCTTCATTATTATTTCAAAGATCATACTGCTTCCATTGTTGACTTGATTTTTATATTGAGTTCCAGAATTATATTGATGATTTTGTGATTACTCCTGAATTCAACTTCTGTTAAATAAATTGAAGAGTTATTGTTTAAAATACATATTGGTTTGATCTAGTTTTGTTAATATTACTAATGTAAGTATATTTCTTTATATGTAAATATAGAAATACAGTAAATATGATCTGAATAGTTGCTAAAGTGATTATAGATTTTAGAAGCAAGAGTTTGATAGAAATACTTTGTCTAAAAAATAAATACAAGAAATGTTATTAAAAATTGTTTTTATAATATGGTCTATAATATTTCAGCTAATAATATCAAAAGAAAGGTGAATTTATAATATACGAAATTTTGTTTGGGGCTTAAATTGAAAAAAAATAAAATTATAAATACTTTAAAGAAATTATTTTATAAAGTACTATATTTGAAAAAAATGTTCTAAGTTATAAAACAAGTTTCCATTTTGATTTTTTTATTGGTAATTACTTTGTTACTTTATTATTTATTTAGTTTTGAATAGGTTGCAAGTTTGTTATAATTTGATATTAGAAATCCAAAATGTGTCAAAGCTTTCTTTAAATACTATATATAATTAGTAAGGCATTTAAACTTTGTTTTATTATTAAATCTCTAATATTAAAAATTTTGATATTGAGATATAAAAAGTTTATAAAAAAAAGAATGTGATTAATAGTTAAAAAATTTTATATTTGTATTTAAGCTTAAAACAAGGCTTAAAAAAAGCTTAAAAATATTTATAAGAGGTTTAAAATTTTTATTTAAAAATTGTATATTATTGATAAGTTTAAAATTTAATATATTCATTTAATTTATAAATTTTGTAAAAAAATTTAAATCTTTAACTATTAAAACTTCAATTTGAATATAAATTATTATTTAGGTTTTTTTGACTAACAAAAGTTTAAATAAATTTGTATTCAATTATTGAAATTTTAAAATATTAAAGACTTATAGGTCTATAGTATAGTAGTAATACTCTATAGGTTACCAGAAGCAGGTCTAAGGTTTAAATCTGCTTGGTTACAAAAAATATATCACAAAAAGTCAATTTAATTAGGCTATATGAAAATAGGACTTCTGGCCTTTCCAGTAATTATAGAGTTACAACAAGATCACATAAGAAAAGAATTGTATAAAAAAAGGCTTCTGGTCTAATTCTGGTTAAATCCACAGCCACTTCACATAAACAATAATACATTTGATACTACAGATTGAGATATATACTATTTATTCAATTCTGCTTGACTTACATGTTAGAAGAAATAAGATCAACTCTGAAAAAATCATTGATATGATTACTAACACATGGGAGCATTATGACTAAGAAATGTTATACATACTGTAATATAAGAAGTGGTAATACAAATGTCATTAACACCAGTTGCCAAGACATATCATGTGCCATAATTAAAAACAGGTTACATTGAAACAATAAATGGCACACTTGAAAAAGATAAGAGGCTTTGATAAAGAAAATATAAAATAAGAAAAGAAAAACTGGGCAAAGTTATATGATTTATCTTTGCTTGATAAAATTAACTAATTATTTAATATAATAACAAAACAATAATGTGTTATATAATAGCTTTGCCATAATTTAATATTTTACTTTACTTTTTATTTTATTTTTTTGTTTATTTTATTTTTATTATCAAATTTTATGTAATTACTGAACTTATTATATAAAAAAATTATGTTATAAAGAAAGAAAAATGGATAACATTAAAGATTAATTAATAAATCAATTTTTCAGCTATAATCAATTTCACCTTACCTTTAATAATAAACACTTATCATTATTACACAAATCTTAGCTTTCATTAGTAACAGACTCACCAATAGTAGTGACAATACCATATAGGAGTTGCATCCTGCTTGGCATTTATGTCTCTAGATTTGACAGCTTAAACCAATTAAATTTTCTTGAAGTATCTATTAGAAGATATTAAAGTCATACCCTACTTGACTGTTTGGTCCCTAGATTTAGTAATATGTAATAACCAAGGACTATAGCTTTCAGAATATTTACTAGAAAGTATATAGATGTGTTTTATTCCTCTTTGACTCCACTTTTGAGAGATAGCTGAAGATGTAATATGAAAGAGATAATCTATAAAATACTAATATGAATTTCAATTCTATAAATATTTATTATCCTTAAATAGTTGGATCAATGGGTTAAGTGATTTAAACTAGTGATAGGACTTCTACCTCTTAAATAGATCTCCTCAAAAATATGAAACCATTTCAAAAGTATTATTAGTATTTTTGGAACAATAAAATAGAATAAACTAGTATTTAACTATAGTTTAATATTATAGATAATGTTTAATATAATTATAATATTATATATATACTGTATATCAATAAATGGGTAATTATTTTCGAAGGCGGACCGGAAATTTTCTGGTACTACAATTGTGATCATTATGTGTGTATTGTTTAAAAGTAGGCTCTGAAAAAATCATATCTAGCATTTTTGTCGTTTTCAAAAATAATTACCCAAATAATTAGTATCTAATGTTTATTTTACTAAAAAAAAAAATTTATTTAAAATACAACTAATAATAAACTCTGATATTATTAAATTAAATATAATTTTGTTTATAATTATAAATTGATTTCAAATTTTTTAATTTTAATTATTATTTTTTTTATAATTAAACAAGTGCATATATTTAACAAAAAACAAATAATACATTATATTGTATAAACTATTCTATTGTCTTGAATATTTGTATTAAACTATATCTCTAAGTGTGACTTTGAAAATGAAAAAAGTTCTCTTTATTATCTATTCATTTAGAAATTTGAGATTAAAGATTATTTCCTATAGTTTATTACTATAATTCATCTAAGCAAAATCTAAATTATTTATTATATTCCTAACTATTTTTTTTCTTCTTTAATTTATTTCTAAATTGTTATTTACTTTAGTTCCAACTTTAATTTGATTCTAGTTTTTTTTTTATTTATAAAATTTTTAATTTTATATTTTTTTTATTCTTTTGTTTCTAGTTTCTTTTTTTTCTTAATCTTTATGTAACTATTTTTCCAATACTTTTTTTTCTAGTTTTTTTCCTGATTATTATAGTTTGAAGTATCTATTAT